TCTTCCATATGAGGAGAGAATAAAATCACTGGGACTGTTCAGCTTGGAAAAGAGACGACTGAGGGGGGAGATGATAGAGGGCTATAAAATCATGAACGGTGGGGAGAAAGTGTTGTTTTCCCCTTCACATAACACAAGAACCAGGGGTCACCTGATGAAATTAATGGGCAGCGGGTCTGAAACAAACAAAAGGAAGTACTTCTTCACATAACACTCAGTTAACTTGTGGAACTCATTACCAGGGGATGTTGTGAAGACTAAAAGCATAACTGGGTTAAAAAACAAATAGATAAATTCCTAGAGAATAGCTCCATCAATGTCTATTAGCCAAGATGGTCAGTAATGCAATCCCATGCTCTGGGTGTCTCTAAGCCCCTTACTGCCAGATGCTGTGACTGGATGACAGCGGTATGGATCACTTAAAAAGTGCCCTGTTTTATTCATTCCCTTTGAAGCATCTGCCACTGGCCACTGAGAGAAAACAGAATACTGGGCTAGATGGACCATTGGTCTGACCCACTATGGCCATTCTTATGTTCAATGTGAACTCTGGCTAATGGGGTAACCGTCTTGATAGTATGACAGGTAGCCAATTCTAGTGGGCTAAGCATATGACTGAAAGCAAGTGACCCTTATGTTCTAATCCTGGGTCTTACACTGACTCTCTCTTCAGCATCAGTCAAGACACTTAACTTCTCTGCCTCAGTTTTCCCATCTGTAAAATCAGGATAATACTATTATTTACCTATCTTGCAGGAGCATGACAATGATAAATGAGTTAATCTTGGCATAGTGTGATGGAAATGCTAAATTCCATATGCTATGTCTCAAAGGTATGGCTCACACAGTCCATGATGAACATGGTATCAATACATAAACGGAGAGAGAGAACCTGCAAACCCTACTCACATGAGCAACATCACTTAATCAAAATAATGCCACTGACTTCACTTGGTCTCATCAAGTGAGTAAGGGTTGCAGGATCAGGCAATTTGCAGATGGGGAAACTGAGGCACAGACATGTGAAATGACTTGCCAAAGGTCACACAGAAAGTCAGCAGTAGAGCTCAGAAAGTACAGTGCATGCTTGGGTAGAGTTGCTGTGAATTGTTAAACAACTGCTACACTCCAGCTTAGCCCAGAGAAGGCTGCATATCAACCATGAGGATCTTTATGTATCATTTTCTATTACAGTTAGAAGTGCCTTGGACTCCTTCTGGATGAAGGGAGCTCCATAAATGTTAAATATAATTTTGTCTAAGATAATTTGTTCTGAAATCCCAAGAGTGCTCATGTCTCTGATATACCAGGGCGTTTTATAACTCATCAGTCTGTAGTTACTGTTTTATGGCTTTCTGATGTCAGAAGGAACAATTGATTATGGCTGCTAAAAGCATGGCTCAGTACAGAAGTATTGTCATCACCTGTATGTCATTAGAGCAAATCTTAGTTATACTATCTCACCAAGGCGAGTATGATAAATCAATGTCTTAAGTTGCAATTGAATCTAGTGGTCTCAAGTGACAATAATTTGTCAGGTAGAACAAGCGACCAAATTGCTCAACAGCAAAAACATTGAAGGGTAGCGTTAGATACTTTAAGTAATGTAGATAGGAGACCATCCTTAAGGTGAAAAGCATCAAAACAGCAGATTTATTGTAATAGCCTTCCAAATACAGCATGGGCGGATTGAATCATCACTCTACTGGATGCCTGGGATGGCAGCACTAACTTCATAGATTGTGTTTTAAGGCCTGTTTTGAAATACGAGGTATGAGTGCTGCAGTGGAAGCCCCAGGAGGAAATCTGGTGGACTCGGCCAGAATACTTCCTGGGGGTGCCAGGCACGACATGCCAGGGAACCATAGCCCCAGCCAGCCTGTTCCTTACTCCATCCCTACCTCCAAGTAATGGAGTGGTGATTCTGCTCCTCTGATATATCACGGTTGCCCCATAGGCTGAGGCACAAGGAGCAAAGGACAGGCATCTGCACAATACCAACCACAGTCTGGCCTCTGAAGGATCTTTTTGGACGCAAGGGGGCCAGCTCTGTCTAGCACTGCTATTCAGTTTAGGTGGGTTGGACTGAAGAGTGGGTATCATAAGCAGAGTTAACTTTTGAGCGGGAGCTAAGAGAAAGACTGGGGTGACTATTTCCAACGTTTCCTGCCTAAGTCCCACTCTTTTTGATGTTAATATGAGGCCTTTCTCACTGCATGGGGGCAGGGAAGTAGAGAGGATTTGGGATTTACCAGGCAGGTAAAAGATTTGCTAACAAATTATTCCGGGACCAACCATTTAAGGGAGTCTCTTCTGCCTGATACTAGTTTAAGGGGCAATTTTCAAGGGCACAACTGCAGTTAGACACGCAACTCCCGTGAACATTCTGTGGGAATCCTTTTGTGCCTTGAAAAATCTCTTCCTTCGATTTTTAACTACCATCCACCTGAGACAGGTAAATCCTAGGCTGCTCCCAGTTTGCTCATCCTTCTTCACAACATGCTCTGACTCCCTCAGGCTCCTGATCTCTTCCTCCCACCTACTAGCCTTCCAGGAACCTACTGCAGAGCACCCTGACCTGCCTACTACTTCCCTGATCCCCCTGACTCCTCTGGAAAGAGCCCCATGCCAAATCCCACCTCTCTGAGATCTATTCACTCCCATCCCTCACTGGTTTTAGCCCACCTTCTTGCTTGGCCTGCTCACCTGTTCTCTCCCCCGAGCCCACTGGCCACATATCCTCAGCCAACCAGTCTTTCCCTGTGGGAGAGCAGTCACCTAGGAGCGAGGAGTGAGGAGCACTGCTGGGTCTAATTGTATAAGGGACCTTGTTGGACCTAAATGGGGTGGAGCAAGAGAAGGGCTCGGTTCAACTGGGCTTTGTTTGGCCTCTGCCTGCAGTTATAAAAGCCTTGGTTTGGGAGTACAGGGAGAGGCAAAGCTAGTAGGAAGTATGGATACAGAGGCAGTTCGTCCCTTGAGGCAATTTATTTAACAAAGGTTTTATTAACCAAGATATTCCTCCAAAGCAATCTCCTGTACAGGGGCTTTCTATGTGGGAGGCCATGTGATCTAGAGGATAGCGCACTGGAGTAGGTCTTAGGAGATATGAGTTCTGCCTGGCTTTGGGTATTACCCATAGCCAGTTTTCAAAGATTTAAAGGCAGTCTATTTTATCCTCCTAGTCTGTGAGAAAGGAAGCATGTAGGTATTAGTGCTAAGGGGATTTTTCCTCCCCTGGCTTACCTGCGTGCTAGCTAGAAAGGAAAGAGAAATCTACTTTCCAAAGTGGGGCCCTTGATAGACAACATATCTCTGGTATTGAGGAAAAGCCCCTTTAAAGTGCAAACAATGCTGTTGCCAAGACAACCAGTTCCAGAACTGGAAGAAGTGAAAAACAAAATGGACGCAGCGAAAGCCTGTTCCGTTCCTTCGGAGAAGAGGGAATGGGAGGAAGCACTGCTGGGTTGGTAGGCAAATGCTAGCATCAGTAGCAGGAGTGGTACTTTCTAAGAAAGCATTAGAATGTACTCTCACAGAGTTAAACAGGCATGAGGTTTTCTAGTCCCAGCAATGGGTTAAATTCCTCTATTGAGTGTCTAATAGGACAAGACCTCATAGCTCACATGCAGTCCAAGAATTTAATATCCTACCTATAGGATTCAGATGACCAATTTGCTAGTGAAGTTTCCTCCAAATCTAACTACTTGCCACATCTATCTAATTTATAAGATGCCCATTGCTGGGATATTTAAGTTCTCTAGTACAGCAGATATATAATATTTATTTTCCTCAGATGAAAAATGCTTTCGAAGACAACTCAGACTTACAAACCTAAACAAATTAAGCCTCCCAACACCTGAAGCAAATCAGCATTAGATAAGTTCATTGATTTGCATTTCTCAAGTGACTTGCTCAAGGTTTGAGTCTGTGAGTTGAAACCAGAACTTTCAACTCCCAAAAATAAGCTTGAATCACTAAATCATATCTCTTCTCATAAGCTCAACAATAGGACAAATTTGGAACTAAATTATAGACCTTTTGGAAGGCTCTTTAACATATTAGAATGGAAAGAATAATTGCTCTGTTCTCTCTCTCTTGTTTTTATCTAACCTCACTGTCACGAAGTGTCTTGTCTAAATATTTTTTTGCAGCAAAAAATATTGTCAATGAATATTATGTGAATACTTTATCATGAGCTTCACATTCCTGAAAGGCAAGAGAGAATGTCTTTACTATGGAAATTGCAGTAGCACCTAGAGATCTTAACCAGGTCAGGGCCCCATTGTGCTAGGAGGATGTAAAACATTATAGTAAATGACCGTCCCTGCCCCAAAGAACTTACAATCTAAGCGTCTGATCCAACTCCCAGGGAAGCCAATGGAAAGCCTTCTATTAACTTCAGGTAAATTGCAATGGTAAAACTTCCATCCTGATCCAAAGCCAACTGAAGTAAATGGGAGTCTTTTCATTAACTGTCAGTGGGCTTTGAATGGGGTACTAAAACACTAAGACATAACTGGAGGATAACAAACAAGTGGTAGAGGGGGCTGTGATGGATGGATTACAGAAACCCCCTTGAGGCTGCCAACTGATTTGCCAAGACTACTTCTGCCCCTGCTTTCCCTGCCCTCCCAGCTTGGGACTTCAGTGCCCTGCCTGGTTTGAGCCAGATCCACTAGCCTGCTGCAAACCCAGACCCAGGTCTGAACAACGTCCCCTAACAGCTGTAGGCTTAAACTGAAAGCAGCTTAAGAAGTGTTCCTATCTTTAACACTCAGATGCTCAACTCCCAATGGGGTCCAAACCCCAAATAAATCAGTTTTACCCTGTATGAAGTTTATACAGGGTAAACTCATAAATTGTTCGCCCTCTATAATACCGATAGAGAGATATGCACAGCTGTTTTCTCCCCCCCCCCCAGGTATTAATACATACTCTGGGTTAATTAATAAGTAAAAAGTTATTTTATTAAATACAGAAAGTATGATTTAAGTGGTTCCAAGTAGTAACAGACAGAACAAAGTGAATTACCAAGCAAAATAAAATAGAACACGCAAGTCTATGTGTAATACAGTAAGAAAACTGAATACAGATAAAACCTCACTCTCAGAGGAGTTCCAGTAAGCTTCATTTTACAGACTAGTCTCCTTTTAGTCTGGGTCCAGCAATCACTCACACCCTCTGTAGTTACTGTCCTTTGTTCCAGTTTCTTTCAGGTATCCTTGCGGGTGGAGAGGCTATCTCTTTAGCCAGCTGAAGACAAAATGGAGGGATCTCCCAGGGGTTTAAATAGACTTTCTCTTGTGGGTGGATACACCTCCCTCCCCCTGTGTAGAATTCCAGCTCCAAGATGGAGTTTTGGAGTCACATGGGCAAATCACATGTCCATGCATGACTCAAAACTTACAGGTAGCAGCCATGGTTCACATGCTACCTTGAACATCCTCATGTAGACTTCTTATTTGGTTTGGAGCCTTCCAAGATCCATTGTACCTTAAGTACTTCTTGATTGGGCACTTAATTTGCACATTCCTTTCTCAAGAAGTTGACCAAATGCTTTACTAAGGCTACTTAAAAATCAAGCAAGTACACAGCCGATATTCATAACTTCGAATACAAAAATGATACATGCATACAAATAGAATGAATAGATTCAGTAGATCATAACCTTTACAGAGATATGTTACATGGAATATGTAGCATAAAACATATTCCAGTTATGTCATATATACATTCATAAGCATATTTCCATAAAGCCTTATGGGGTGCAACGTCACAGGGGCTATAAGGGAAGACTGGGTATCGATTATCATAGAATGCTCTAGCACAGAATAGTTGGGTGAATTATAGTTTGCTCTGCATAGTTGTCCAAAGTGCCCTCGTGAATTTAGACAGAAGGACCCAGTTCATGCTAAAGCACTCTGAGGTGTAAAGGGGCAGAGGGGTTATTTTCTGTTAATGAGAGAAAGAAAAATCTTTCCTCTCAACTTCAAATGTCCACTGACAAAACCACTGCTGAAAAATTAGCTTTATGGGGAATGCTCTGCTTCTTTCTTCATATACACCTGACACGCAGTGAGCAGGGGGATGCAGCTCTGTCTTTCCCCTTTCTTTCCCTTTGTGTATCCCTTGTTATATTTTTTATCTCTCTCCATTTGTCTTTCCCTGGCCTGGACCAAAGGCATCTGTTGGCTGTACACAGACCAAGGAACATTCTTATATGTCATGCTAAAGTGATCCAAGGCCAGCCCATAAGGACAAGCCGTCTTCATCAATCTTTGTCAGAGCGCTCTACAACTGCCCTGGCAATCACTCCTGACATGCTTTCTGCTCATCTCTCTGTCTCCTGTCACTGGTCCCCAACCTGCAGTAAGCTACTGACTAGACTCTCTCCACCTTAATTTGCTAGTGTGCTGTGACAGATGGCAGTGGATATTGCTTGCTGCCCTGAGTCTGCAAGGAGAAATGCAAAGTTAATGGGATAGAAGGATTCATCTCAGAATACTATAAGGTGCTTGCAGTTTCTCCTAAACCTGAAATGTATAAAGACCACTCTTCTCTCTGGAGTCACATTTTAACATTCAGCCAATGCTCAGCCAAACACACACAGTGAAAACTGGGCAGAGAAAAGTGGCTGTTTTTTGCTAAGATATCAGATGGATTCAGTGTTTTGTGTAGGGCTCTTCCAGACCACATAGCCAGAGTGATTGTTTTTACTGTCGGTCAAGCAGCAAGACAAGAGTCTCATTTTTCTGCAAAACTGCTCATGTGGTTACCTGGTCATCCCAACCCATTTATCTCTTTTGTCCACTTGTCACGCCCTTTCTGACACCTAGACTGTAAGTTTTCTGGGGGAGAAGCTGTCTTCTTTATTCATCTGTGCAGCGCCTAGCACAATGGGGCGCAGCTCCTTGACAGAGCTTCCTAAGCGTTACTGTAATACAAATAACTAATCGTAACAACACCTTCATTGTAGTGTTCACCACTGAACAGACAACATGCAACCAAAGTTATCACATAGTGATATCTGAGTTATTTCTTATTCTATGTGTATGGGAATACAGCTTTAACTCTGATGTAACAGCAGCTGAAAGTGCTCTGACACCTGAACGATCATGATTCCAAATGGCCTGAGAGAGGAATTTTTGAGCATGCCATTTATTTCCTCGCCATACTATCAAATGCAATCACTCTCAGTAACCTTTTCACAGGTGACCGTGCACCTTTTGTGGCATCCTTTTTCCTAGTGCCTTTAAAGAATGCAGTGTATGGCATGCTGTACAGATTCCACAGAGTTGACACCTAAGCTGCTGTTGCCCAAATCTAAAGCTACTAGAGTAAATGCTCAGGGTATCCTGATAAAACAAAGGGGAAAGCAACTGTCTGCAAAACCCAAAGAGAAACCATTGCACATTACTGTACCTTATCAATATCATGTTCATGACACTTGGCCTTTCTGAATTACAAAAGAGAAAATTGATGCCCTCATCTTAAACAGATCCAAAAACTGCAGCACAAACTGTTTTATAGAATAGATCCTCAACACATTCCCCAATGACGGTCATATCTCCATATCAGCTTTAGTTAAAGCCAAATACGCATTCCTTGTCCCATGTGAGCCTAAAATTTAGAGATTTACATTCAGCCTTACAGCAGCAACCTCGTATGGATGAGAGTTGAGAAGGCAACTGCTCACAAAACAGGAGAATGAAAGGAAGATGAAGAATAGACTGCCCAAAATCTATGGTGTCGACATCTAGCAAATCTGCATGAGAGGCAAAAGCAAGAAATATTGGTATATTATTTGTATTGTTTTCTGTTGCTTGTGCTCCAAAAACTGGGTGAATAATACAAAGAATTCTCAGCAAATATTTGTTTGAATTTCAAAGAATTCATCCCCACTGTGTTCAGACACCTTTCGTGTTTCTTTCTGCAAATGTTCAAACTGAATTTTACTGATGGCGAAAGGCAAATTTCAGAGTTTCATGCATTGAGTTTTCATAGACATTGAACTGTCAATTTGTATACACAAGTATTTGTGCCTGATATGACAGAGTGCCTATCCAGTCAGGGATCAGAAACACCATGTGACTTATCTAACCAATCAGAACTCAGCAAACAGCTGAGATTTTTGAATATTTGTGATCAGCCCATACAGTTAAAAATTGGAAAACATAGCCATTGAATGAATTCACATAATGAGTAAATGTGAAAAAGTCACAATCTGTTTGCATATATTCTAGAAGCAGAAAGAGAGGCTATATTAGCAACATATATTATTCATGTGAACTATCCTCCAGTCGCTCTCCTCTTTACACATCTTTTGTAAAAAAGGGAATCTGTTGCCTCAGAGTAAATGATACACTACTGGGAACATGACTACATGACTTTAGATTCCATTTCCTTAATTGAAGGAAGAGTTGGCAGAATTAACTCTGTTCACTGCCTACTAGCTGTGTTACTTCACACCCTTTGGCAAAGCACTTGAGGAATGTTTCCCCATGCAGCACCCATCAACACCCCACAGAGTTTCTGGAAGGGAATCTCACTGTTAGAAAAAAGAAAAGGAGTACTTGTGGCACCTTAGAGACTAACCAATTTATTTGAGCATAAGCTTTCGTGAGCTACAGCTCACTTCAAGATGATGAAGTGAGCCGTAGCTCACGAAAGCTCATGCTCAAATAAATTGGTTAGTCTCTAAGGTGCCACAAGTACTCCTTTTCTTTTTGTGAATACAGACTAACACGGCTGTTACTCTGAAACCTGTCACTGTTAGAAAAGATTCCATTTGAAGATTAACACAGTGGCATTTCGTAATGGGGTATGTCAGGTCACATTCAACATCACACTTGCTTTTGTTTTAGGGGAGAACTACATTACGTTTGGGATGGGGAATACGCCATGAGTTACATGCAAGACTTGGGTACTTGAGATACATGAGACTTGGGTGTTTCCTTTTCAACACTGTCACCTACATCATCCTTTCCTGTCATTTGCTTTCCTCCAGTTATATGGCATGGCAGTTGCTTTGAAATTCACTTGTCTCCATAAACACTGAATTCCCTGGGTAGGACTTTATCTCTCACATACTTGACAAACCCCCTTAGTCATTCCACAGGGGTATTATTGGTTGGGGAACTTCTATTACAATGTCATCATCACAGAATGAGTGACCGAAATAATTTATACTCACAAGTGTAAGTAATATTGTAGATGACATTTCTCTTACTGGATTCCAGCAGAGGGACTTGGCACTCTTTTCAGTGAACAAATTCTGCAGCAAGCCTCTGGTTCACATAGTCACCCTAAATAATTATCAGTGATCATCATTATTTATCTTCTATTAGTACAGTGCCCACCATGTGCTAGGATCCTTACTAATGATGAGGCAATTGGGTAGATTAGCTGAAAGACAATTAGACAGATTAGACATATAAATAATTAGAAGGCAATAAGACAGATTTGCAGCTTTCACAACCAATTCTAGGCTAGATTGTAAGAGAATAATTAAGTTTAAAAGATGTATATCATGCCATTGTTGAAGCTAGTGTTAACAGCAGTATATTATAAACCAGAAATTAGGTTACACAGATTGTGTTTTGATTCATCTGGGTAGCTGTCTCTTGTAGTCTATTAACAATAATTTCAGGCATGATAAAGATGTCTCCAGCATCCTACACACTTTATCACCCTCCACAGCACCACAAAAAAGATACAATTGTAATTCATCTATATGAAAACAAAAGCAGATATACAAGGATTTTTAGATGTGCACAAGGTATGCAAGGATTACACTCATGAACAATATTGAAACTATGTTCAAGAAAATGTTGCACACTTAATGAAGAAGGCTAAAGTGTGCTATTCAGGAGCTGATCAATGTTGGAATCAATACAAAGCTGCATGGCTATAGGGGTTATTAATTCATTTTATGCATATATGTATATGAGTAGCTTTACTCATATGAATAGTCAGCTATCTAACTGGTTACTTATTTGGCCCCCCATCACCACAGCATATGAGAGCCAACCTGGTCACTAAAATCCCATTGAGACAATTTATGAGATAAATTGTGTAAGTGTTTACAAGAGCGAGCTATAACAGTCATAATTTATCCAAAATTAAATATATGTTTCGTTCATTTCATCTTAACTCTGAGTACATTTTTATTGTTTTCTTTCAACTCTCTAATTTTTGAGACATCCAGAAAGAAACACCAAGGGAAGGTCATGCCTGACTAATCTAATCGCCTTCTATGATGAGATTACTGGTTCTGTGGATAAAGGAACGCAGTGGATGTATTGTTTCTTGACTTTAGCAAAGCTTTTGACACGGTCTACCACAGTATTCTTGTCAGCAAGTTAAAAAAGTATGGGCTGGATGAATGCACTATAAGGTGGGTAGAAAGTTGGCTAGATTGTCGGGCTCAACGAGTAGTGATCAATGGCTCCATGTCTATTGGCAGCCGGTGTCAAGTGGAGTGCCCCAGGGGTTGGTCCTGGGGCCGGTTTTGTTCAATATCTTCATAAATGATCTGGAGGATGGTGTGGATTGCACTCTCAGCAAATTTGCGGATGATACTAAACTAGGAGGAGTGGTAGATACGCTGGAGGGCAGGGATAGGATACAGAAGGACCTAGACAAATTGGAGGATTGGGCCAAAAGAAATCTGATGAGGTTCAATAAGGATAAGTGCAGGGTCCTGCACTTAGGATGGAAGAACCCAATGCACCGCTACAGATTAGGGACCGAAAGGCTAGGCAGCAGTTCTGTGAAAAAGGACCTAGGGGTGACAGTGGATGAGAAGCTGGATATGAGTCAGCAGTGTGCCCTTGTTGCCAAGAAGGCCAATGGCATTTTGGGATGTATAAGTAGGGGCATAGCGAGCAGATCAAGGGACGTGATCGTTCCCCTCTATTCGACATTGGTGAGGCCTCATCTGGAGTACTGTGTCCAGTTTTGGGCCCCACACTACAAGAAGGATGTGGATAAATTGGAGAGAGTCCAGCGAAGGGCAACAAAAATGATTAGGGGTCTGGAACACATGACTTATGAGGAGAGGCTGAGGGAACTGTGATTGTTTAGTCTGCAGAAGAGAAGAATGAGGGGGGATTTGATAGCTGCTTTCAACTACCTGACAGGTGGTTCCAGAGAGGATGGTTCTAAACTATTCTCAGTGGTAGAAGAGGACAGGACAAGGAGTAATGGTCTCAAGTTGCAGTGTGGGAGGTTTAGGTTGGATATTAGGAAAAACTTTTTCACTAGGAGGGTGGTGAAACACTGGAATGCGTTACCTAGGGAGATGGTAGAATCTCCTTCCTTAGAAGTTTTTAAGATCAGGCTTGACAAAGCCCTGGGTGGGATGATTTAATTGGGGATTGGTCCTGCTTTGAGCAGGGGGTTGGACTAGATGACCTCCTGAGGTCCCTTCCAACCTGATATTCTATGATTCTATGATTCTATTAAATGAATGTAATGTCCCTAAATGTGTCCTATTCTAATGAGGGTTAGTATCATTGTGAATTTGATTGCTAGACAAGATATGTCAGTTGTCCCTGCATGCATGTTTGAATTCTGGGGAGCCTTCAGAGAAAATTCTGCTTTCAATCCCTGACAGAGGATTTCTACTCAGACATGCGATGTTCCCACCATAAACAGGACTCCTACTCACAAGAGTTTATGTTCTCTAGATTTGTAGATTCCAAGGCCAGACATGAATATTGTGATCATCTAGTCTGACCTCCCTGTATAGCACAGGACACAGAACTTTCCCCAGATAATTCCTAGAGCAGATGCCTATGCTACCAGCACTCCCAGCTACCTTCGAGACACCACTGACTTCCTGAGGAAACTACAATCCATCGGTGACCTTCCTGATAACACCATCCTGGCCAACATGGATGTAGAGAACCTCTACACCAACATTCCACACAAAGATGGACTACAAGCCGTCAAGAACACTATCCCCGATAATGTCACGGCTAACCTGGTGGCTGAACTTTCTGACTTTGTCCTTACCCATAACTATTTTACATCTGGGGACAATGTATACCTTCAAATCAGCGGCACTGCTATGGGTACCCTCTTGGCCCCACAGTATGCCAACATTTTTATGGCTGACTTAGAACAACGCTTCCTCAGCTCTCATCCCCTAGCGCCCCTACTCTACTTGCGCCATATTGATGACATCTTCATCATCTGGACCCATGGAAAACAAGCCCTTGAGGAATTCCACCATGATTTCAACAATTTCCACCCCACCATCAACCTCAGCCTGGTCCAGTCCACACAAGAGATCCACTTCCTGGACACTACAGTGCTAATAAACGATGGTCAGATAAACACCACCCTATACCGGAAACCTACTGACCACTATTCCTACCTACATGCCTCCAGCTTTCACCCTGACCACACCACATGATCCATTATCTACAGCCAAGCTCTGTGATACAACTGCATTTGCTCCAACCCCTCAGACAGAGACAAACACCTACAAGATCTCTATCAAGCATTCTTACAACTACAATACCCACCTGCGGAAGTGAAGAAACAGATTGATAGAGCCAGAAGAGTTCCCAAAAGTCACCTACTACAAGACAGGCCTAACAAAGAGAATAACAGAACGCCACTAGCCGTCACCTTCAGCCCCCATCTAAAGCCCCTCCAACGCATTATTAAGGATCTACAACCTATCCTGAAGGATGATCCAACACTCTCACAAATCTTGAGAAACAGGCCAGTCCTTGCCTACAGACAGCCCCCCAAGCTGAAGCAAATACTCACCAGCAACCACATACCACACAACAGAACCACTAACCCAGGAACCTATCCTTGCAACAAAGCCCGTTGCCAACTGTGCCCACATATCTATTCAGGGGACACCATCACAAGGCCTAATAACATCAGCCACACTATCAGAGGCTCGCTCACCTGCACATCCACCAACGTGATATATGCCATCATATGCCAGCAATGCCCCTCTGCCATGTACATTGGTCAAACTGGACAGTCTCTATGTAAAAGAATAAATGGACACAAATCAGATGTCAAGAATTATAACATTCATAAACCAGTCGGAGAACACTTCAATCTCTCTGGTCACGCGATTACAGACATGAAAGTTGTGATATTACAACAGAAAAACTTCAAAACCAGACTCCAGAGAGAGACTGTTGAATTGGAATTCATTTGCAAATTGGATACAATTAACTTAGGCTTGAATAGAGACTGGGAGTGGCTAAGTCATTATGCAAGGTAACCTATTTTCCCTTGTTTTTTCCTACTTACCCCCCCTCCCCATTCCTCAGACGTTCTTGCTAAACCCTGGATTTGTGCTGGAAATGGCCCACCTTGATTATCATGCACATTGTAAGGAGAGTGATCACTTTAGATAAGCTATTACCAGCAAGAGAGTGGGGTGGGGGGAGAGAAAACCTTTTGTAGTGGTAAACACCCATTTTTTCATGGTTTGTGTGTATAAAAAGATCTTCTGTACTTTCTACAGTATGCATCCGATGAAGTGAGCTGTAGTTCACAAAAGCTTATGCTCAAATAAATTGGTTAGTCTCTAAGGTGCCACAAGTACTCCTTTTCTTTTTATCTTTTAGAAAAACATCCAATCTTGATTTTAAACTGGTCAGTGCTAAAGAATCCACGACCCTTGGTAAATTATTCCAATGGTCAATTACATTCACTGTCAAAAATTTTCACCTTATTTCCAGTTTGAATTTGTCTAGCTTCAACTTCCAGCCTCTTCATCTTCTTATATCTTTGCCTACTAGATTGAAGAGCCCAGAGAAGCAGTGAGCAAGTGCACTTTGGCAAGGTCTCCCCCTAGGTACCATCATTCCTCCTTTGGGTTTTAACTTTTACATGAGTGTTTAGTCTGAAATACCCCTCTAATTGTTTGCATTCATTCACTCATGAAAAGCACGGGCACTCATCACACTTTTCTTCACTCTTTTAACATTTTTTTAAAGGAGGCTGGTGATTTAAGATGAGAAAAACATTCACTTGAAAAGGTATCAGTAAAGAAGTCTTGGAAGACTTATTTGGTAGTTAAACTTCAAAGTGTTTTCGCCTTTCTCTTCTCTTGCAGACTTTTGAATGCAAATGTAGAAATGGCTCTAGTCTATTTCTTCACATCATGCCCTTTTTTTTTGAGTCATTGCATTGTTTTCCATAGACATATATTACAGTTTATTTTCACTGAAAGATAAACTAATCATTCACGGTTCAGGTGCATGCTATGAATATACAAACAAAAAAAGGTGGGGGGGACACCTTTAAAATCAGCCATTCTGCTGCTGCATAAACAGGATAACGATGTTGGTAACTTGGACCTTGTCTACATCAGAAAAATGTCCTGTTCCTGACAATGGGAGTCGGCAATGGATGCAGGTGAACTGGTGCTGACCCCGATTCTGAGACAAAACACAAAAAATATTCACTCCTGTTTCAGAAGCTGAAGTTTATATTAGTCCCAACGAGGTGCTGGAAATTGTTTTCCTTTCTCTATACTTGCAGTTACACCACATTTATGATTTTTCTAGCATAACAAGCTCTGGAAGAGCAAAATTTTCATCTCAGATTCACATACAGGATTGAGAATTTAATATTCTGCTTTCCTTACATGCATTTGGACAAACAGAATAAAGTCCAGACCAGTTATATATATATTTAAAAGGGCCAACTTCACGTAGCTGAAAATAATTGAGCCAAATCAGCTGGGAGGAAGAATTTAATCAGAAAAATGTTAGTAACAATTGGAAATTGTTTAAGAACACCTTAGTAGATGCCTAAAAAGCCACAATCAAGGAAAAAGGCTGTAGTAAAAAAACAAAAACAAAAAAAAAACCTGGTTTAGAGGGGAAGTGAAAGCAAATGGAAGAAAGGGAAAGTTGATAGTAATAAATATGAATTGGAAGCTAGGAATTGTTGAAAATTGATAAGGGAAGCAAAGGGACACCAGACAAAATCTATGGCCAGCAGAGTTCAGAACAATGAAAAGGAGCTTTTTCAATATATTAGTGTGATGGGGTATACAAACCCCACACTGGGATGGAAGGAGTTAAAGGACTATACTGGGCCCAGCTAGCCCTGCCCCTCTAAATGTGCACAGCATGGTCCTACTGGAGACAGGGTAGAAGGGGAGCAACTCAGCTCAGAAGTGGGAGGCTGGGAAGGAATGCAGACTTACCCTGAAGGCTCTTGCCAAAAGGGGTGGGAGAAGCCTCCCTGAAGGAACAGGACTGTATGTGGAGCCCATCTGGGGTTGGCAGTTTGTTTTCCTTTTCCTTTTTCTTTTTTTTCCTTATCTGGGACCAGAGCCTGAGGGAGAGAAGCAATGGCAGGAAGCAAGCCAGGGAAGGTTGTTCAGAGGGCCCTTCCCAAAGACGAAATGCTGACCCACCTAGAACCCTGAATCAGAGTGTGGAGTGTGCGGGCCTGGGTTCCCCACCACTGCCCCACGACTGAGTGGGCACTAACCACTAGACCCCTCGGCCCACCAAGTACCCTATTACAATTAGAAACAAAAAGAACCCTGACAATTGTATTGGTCTGTTACTAGACGGAAATGGTAGACTTATCAATAACGCAGAAAAGACAGAAGTTTTCAATAAATATCTTTGTTCTGTATTTGGGTTGGGGGTGGGGGCAGGGGATAGATGTAGTCATATTATATGATAATACTCTTTCCATTCCACTAGTATCTCAGCAGGATATTAAACAGCAGCTACTGAAGTCAGACATTTTAAAATCAGCAGGTCCAGATAATTTGCATCCAAGACTTAGAGCTGGCTGAGGAGCTCACTGGACCATTAATGTTGATTTTTTGATGTCTTGGAATACTAATTTTGAACATCAAACAACACCAGTACTCAGTGACCTGTTCATGAGCAACCCACAGGATATAACAAAAACCACAAGGAAAATCCATTGAGTGCATTCAAATAATGAATAAATGTGAGACATTGCGATCTGCTCGCCGGTATCAAGAAGCAGACAGAGGATGAACACACTGACTACACCAGGCCCTGCAAATAATTCACTCAGCTGTATTCTTTACATTTTCATAGGTTTCCCTTCCTGCCTCCCCCCAGCTCCCCCCACAACTCTAATCAATCTCTATATCTGCCCTGGACATTACCTGGTGTTTGGCTATCAATACTGTTCTTCACTTCCTATCCTAAATAGTATTGTTTAGTGAACTGTTTGTTAACAGGTGCTGCACTCCATGCCAGCAATAAAGGCACTTTGGTTCAGTGAAGTGATTCCTGTGTGCAATTTGTAAAGAGCTCTGGGACAAAATGCAAGACATTTTATCATTAATTATTGAGGCCTGTCTCTGCCCTTTTATCCAGGCACTATAAATACCTTTACTTGTAAGTGGCTTAGAAAATTTAACCAGATGAATAAATAACTGCAGGCTGAGTGCAATGTATCACTTTGGTCTATTTCTGCCCACAAACCTCTTCATCAGCACATAGCAACAAAATCCCCAAACTGTTTTTCAGACCTGCCTTTCCTCACACCAGCTGCTGCCCAGGCCTAAACAAATAGACTGTCCTTGCCAGTTGTCGAGTAATATCCCTTTCTCTTCTCATTTCATAGCTCTATTCAACTATCATACCATCGCATCGCCAAGACAAGGACTTCAAAATGGGAACCCTTTGAGAGTTCATGCCTGACATCATGTGGCAGGGCCCGGATTCAGCAAAGCAATCAAACATGCTGAATTTTAAAGATGCAATGAAATCCATCCTTTTGTAGAAAAGGCATACATTTGATGGGACTTTAAGCAGGTGCTCAAAATTAAGCATGTGATTAACTGCTTTGTGCACTATGTCCTGATGAACTCAAGGGGTAGGATTAATTTAATGGCAGCATACTATTATATTGGTTTTTATATATTTGAATTATCTATGGATATCTATATCATGTGCTTATATGGCCACCATCACTCTAGCATCTAGGCAAGCAGAATACAGAGCTCTCTCAGAGCAGGTCTACACAACGGGGCTAACTCGACCTAAGTCACGCAACTCCAGCTACGTGAATAACGTAGCTGGAGTCGACATACCTTAGGTCGACTTATTGTGGTGTCTACACTGTGCTGGGTCGATGGGAGAAACTCTCCCATCAACTTACCTTATGCTTCTCATTCCAGTGGAATACCAGAGTCAACAGGAGAGCAATTGGCGGTCAATTTAGGGGGTCTTCCCTAGACCTCCTAAATCAACCCCTGGTGGATCGATTGCCACGTGTCGATCCCCCCGGTAAGTGGAGACAAGCCCTCAGGAAAACCAAGTACTGGAAAGCCTCCACTGAATGGTCTTTATCAGAGTTCTATAACACAAGGATTTCTTGGGATGCCCTTCCCCGAAAATATCCCTACTACCCATCTGGCATAAAATTGCAAGTAAGTTGTTGCAGTGGTTAATTACCCTCACTGTCAAAAATGTACGCATTATTTCTGGTCTGAATTTTTCTAGCTTCAACTTCCAGCCATTAGACTGTGTTATTCCTTTCTTTGTCAGATTGAAATGCCCATTATCCAATATTTGTTCCGCACATAATTACTTAGACATAGCAAACAAAACACCCTTAACCTTCTCTTTGTTAAGCTGAATATATTGAGCTCCTTGAGCCTATCACAAAAAGGCATGGTTTCTAATCCTTTAATCATTCTTGTGGCTCTTCCCTGAACCCTCTCCAATTTACCAACATCCTTCTTGAGTTGTGGGCACCAGAACAAGACTCAGTATTCCAGCAGCGGTTGCACCAGTGCCAAACACAAAGGAAGAACAACCTCTTTACTCCACCTCAAGATTCCCCTGTTTATGCATTCCAGGATCATACTAGTTCTTTTGGCCACCGCATTACACTTGGACCTGAGGTTCAGCTGATTATCCACCATGACGTCAATCTTTTTCTTGAGGTCTTTTCCAGGCCTATATTTCTATGATTCCATGTCTTCCCAAGAGTCAAAATTTGCTTGAATGCTAAAGAAAAAGAACTCGGAAGATGATGTGCAACAGCATTACTCGGTAATGCCTGCTATCACAATAGCCTCTCTCTCTCTCTGCGGAAGCACTTTTTGCTGCACTGGGACTCAGCAACCTAGTAGGTGTTTTACTTTTCCAACTTCTGACAAGTGTGATGCTCAGTTCAGATCCAGCTGCCCAGAGGTGGCACTGAGGATTGTCCATGAGTTCAGTTCTGGCTCTTTTGCAGTAAGTAAAGTGATGATGGTTCGTGCTTGGGTTAGACTCAAGCTCTGCTTTTGCGAAAGTGCCACACCTCGCTCTGTAGCAAACCCTGCAGTCAGTTCGGCAGTGATGCTGATGGACTCCACAGGAAGACATATCCATCCCATATCAGCAAGAACCACAGCCAGTGTGACAAAGACCTGTTCTGTCTTTAGCTGTTGTCAGGAGCTCAGTTGGCTGTGGGCACAGCTGCCTAACAACCCAGTCAGCTCATCTGAGCTCAGTAAACCCTCACTAAGTGATTATTCTCCCTGACTGGACAGAAGGGCCAACAGATCACCATTTAAGCCTTGTATCAACAGCTGCACAGCCTGCAGCTACTGCCAGACCTGCTTTCTCCACTGGTCCTGGTTCCAACCCTGGCTTGCTGCTCTCCAACTCTAGTCCCTGCCTACCTCTGAGCTCCTGATTCCTGGCTCCTGGCTCCGACCATTGGCTTATCCCTTGATCATGTCTCTGGTTCTGCATTCTGATTCTGCTCTGATCACTAGGCCCTGACTTCTGCTCCAGCCACTAGGTCACACCGCTGACACCCCGGTGTATGAGCAGCCCACTACAAGAAGGGACTTCACCCTATGGCATGGCGCTCCCTTCCAGAAGGGCCCCAACCAGAGCCCAACCCACCTTCTCGGATGCTGTTGGGGTCCCGCAGGAAATGCAGGCTCAGATCACTGCACAATATGACCAGAATGCTGCCCTCCAGGCCCAGGTAGCATTTTCTGGCCCCATAACTCTTACATCCAAGCTGCCCCTACCCAGTAAGTTTGACAGTGGTCATGCCAAGTTTTGTGAGTTCCTTAACCAATGTTGGCTCGAGATCATACTGCGGTCACAGTCACACCCTACAGATCAGTCCAGAGTGGGGTTTAGTACTTAGCCTGCTCACAGAGAGGCCTTGAAGTGGGTGTCCTGCTCCTGGAAGGGTCCAGTCCTCTCCTTGAACACTTTGAGAGCTTTGTACAGGCGATGGTGGGCATCTTCGATGACCCTAGTTGAGAACGTATGGCAGAAGCTACTCTCCATGCCCTCCGGGAGGGTCCCTAATCCATTCCCAAATGCACAGCACAATTCCAATGTCTGGCTGCAGACACCCACTGGAATGAGGCTGTTCAGTGACACCATTTCAAGCACCTACCCTGGGAGCCTTAATTGATCTTTGTATTAGGATGGATGATGGCTAACAGAGGGAGCCCAAGAAAAACGACACACTACCTGACCTCCACTGGCTAGAACTCTTCTGTCTCCTTAGGCCTCAGCTGCCCTGCCAGACCCCAAACTGGTGTAAGTCAACTGAGCCTGTCCCCACCTCTCCACTGATGAAAAGAATCAACATTGAGCATTGGGATTGTGCCTGTATTGTGGGATGCCTAGGCATGTTGCAGCAGGGTGCCTGGCCAATATCTGGCCACCTCCAGGTTGTCTCCTGGCTATGGCTTTTTCCCGGACCATGCTTCTAGTTCTGTCCTCTGATTCTATGTCAACTGGTAGGACAGACTCCTGCCCCAACCACTAGGTCACATGGCCTACACCCCTACACAGCTGTCACTATCTCCCTGCCATTGCACAGGGCCAGTGATGGACCCCATAGAGTGGTGTTTCTTTCCTGTGTATAGATCTGTTGTAATTTCCCCCAGTAGTGGATAGTCCTTCCCTTCTGCCCACCAGGTGTCTTGTAAAATCATTTGGCCACATCTACTTTGCCCGGTTGGTATTCGAGGGTGGTTTCCAGTTTCTCCCAAAGATACAGAAAGGAATTGAAAGGTATACATTGGGAAGGGAGTTTACTAGGGATACTCCCATTGGAGCTAGCAGACCAGTAACTATTGAGGAGGGCTGATATTAGGCATCCAACCCCTTACTGTATTTGATTCCAAAGATATTGCAGCTGCTTTATTTCATGCCTAGATTCCTGACATCCTGCAGGGTTTTATTTGTACTTTAGAAGCAGAGCAAACTCAGAATAACTACTCCTCAGAGTAAAGTATTCAAATTACTGCAGAACTTCAGCATTCCCATTTATAAAGAACAAATAGATGGAATTGATTTAGTCACACACCTGGGGGAAA